ACCAGCATACATATGATATTAGCTGTGAATTATAAAATTTAACTGAGATTTTATAAATTATTAGAAGAGTGTCAAGTTTTCATTTCAATTCCGATTGACTTTAAAAGTTATTTTCAACTTAACTAAATAATTCTGAAGAAAACCTTTTCAACAAAATGATCAAATCAATGACAAGATTCGGATCCGCTTTACTGGTTTGAGGTTATATATATATTTTTAATTTGTTAATTCCTGAGAATAAATAGTACATTTGGTCACATCATAAAACAATGTGAAATTTAAAATATGTATGCATATTTCACAGTTATTTAGCTGTGAACCCCACAAAATGGGACTTCTATGTTATAATTTCCAGTTTCGGGAAAGTAATATTGAATATGATTGTCCCATTTGGATATTCACTATAAAATAGCTATTATGGTGAACTTCGTTTCATTATATGTACTCAAATATTAGATTATATTCATTTCAAACAATTATTCAAAAACTTACCTACACTACACTTTACAATTTTTAACAATTATTTTCAGGTTTAACTTGATAAGCTTTAAAAATTAAATCTAATATAAACGAAACTTTAAGCTTTATAGCAAAAAGCTAATAAATTACGGTAGTTTATCACCGTGTTCTCTTTTTTAGCATCTAGATGTAAAAGAAAGACGTCCCTTAACGAAAAGGGTTTCTGACTTTTCCTGTGCAAATTGTGTACATGATGAATAAAACAATTTCATGACACTCCTTGTGTAATTGTGTAGCGTCTTGAAAATTTGAAAGTAAATACGGAAGCAATAACATGACTTTAAGCCCTCGAAATTAAAACAATTCACAATGATTTATTATGAGAGCGCGAATACGAATACTTTGTTCACATGTAATTACTTCTGAAAATATATTACAGTGATTTTGCCCTAAAAAGTAAATACAATTATTTTAGTTGTAAGTTTACAAACCAAAAATACAATGAGTGACTTAATATGCAAGAAAGAGACGCTTGCAATTAAATATATAATTGGATACATGGGGTATCCACAACAATGTTTGGAAGATATTACCGAAGTTACTCATTTGTAAAATTGTACTGTATACATCTGGCACAAATATTTTGACTTCTTTAAGTTATTTCTTGATAACTCGTAATTTTATGTGTTATACTTAGATCTTCGTCACTCTTTTGTGGTGCTGATATATATCGCCGATTACAGTTGTTGCATATAATATACAATACGATGTTTATATATATATGTCTCCTGCTTGCATTTATGTATTTATATATTTGTGTGTGTAGTTTTAAAATGCACAATTTTACTTATTTTTCACATTTTATATCGATTGCTATATTTTAGAAAACAGTTAGATTACTTTTATTGCAATGTACCTCGGTGAGACAGCGGTAGGCCTACGGATTTACAACGCTAAAATCCGTGGTTCGATTCCCCGCGGTGTACTCAGCAGATAGGTTAATGTGAGTTTTGTTCTAGAACAAACCAACAACAACCTATTGCAATATGTATTTCAATGAACACTCTTACTATAATCCTAAAATTATCCGTCAATTTTATTTATTTTATCTCAAGACAATATCAACATGTTGAACGTATAAAGACAAACTTATATTCAGTGTAAGCATATGTATTTTTCAGTTCCACCAGAACCTCCCCAAATCGTACAAGGCCATTATCTTGTGACAACAGCTGGAAACTCTGTACAACTAATTTGTGAAGCCCATGCCGGTAAACCGCCTGCAGAGGTATTGTACTCTTTATGCTTTAGAATTAGTCGAATTATCATTTTCATTTCAAAATAGTTTTAAGTAGTGAAATGGAATATTAAATACGTGAGTATACATTTCAAACAGCAAACTAAAATTACTACCAGTAACCACATTTATCTGTATGGTTTCTATATCATATGACTATAGTAATGCATTTAAGATTAATGACACTAATTGTCATCTTGGAGTTGTATTTAATGTAGTTTCTGACCATTTCTGGCTGTACTAACAGCTTCATCCACCATGGAAACACTGTCAGAGCAGTGCCAATTCCTTGAGACGTTTGAGTCTATCCTGTCCTTCTTCAAATGATGTTCAGAGTGATTAGTTACAGTCCAATCTAAGCTATTGCTGACCAAAGTAGATCATTTACCTCAAACCATTCATGAACAGTTTGTGAAAATCACCAAAATACATTATCTTCTGGTAAAAGTGTAGATCTCCTCCCTTAGAATTACATCAATGCTGGAAAAGTAATATTGTCTATGATACCAAAATACACTGAGCTAGTCGCGTTTACTTTTACTGCCACAAATGTATTAGATTTTTACCAGCTAAAATAGCTCCAAACCGTAATACTATATCCTCCACCATCGTTTGAGTTGGCTCCAAACCCATATCCAACCATAAGGTATAAACATTCTGTACATAGATTCGAAACTTTGTGGTGCGAATTTCCACCGTTCTAAGCTCCAATTTTCAAAATCGAAGGCCCAACTAAGCCTTGGGTCTGGATTTGTTTTTGTAATTAGCGACTTATTAACTTATAATATGTGCAGTGAAAGTAAGCCACGCTTTTCTGTTAGTTGATATATTTCCTGAATGATGTTGGATTGTGAACTGAATAATTTAAGCCGATCTGGCCTATTTTCAATAGCTACTCGATCTATGGTCTTGCATTGTTTCAACAGCACATCACAACATAAAATTATGATAGAAATAGCCCCATTATGAAAACCACCAATGTGGAATCCAACCATCGTTCCTCTTTCCAACCGTATAAGCTCCTATCCTTGTAGCATCTTACCTAAATTGTCCCTTTGTGGTAGTTGCTGACCTTCATTGAACTTTTTCTATATGGAATCTTTGGAGAAATATGCAAAATTTATGTGGATTTTCTATTAATTACAAGGTATGTGATGTCGGATTATTTTTGGTCTAATAATATAGTAAGCCATTACTTTTTATTTCTATGTCTCTCGATTCAGTAAGATATCATTACTATTAAACTGATAAAAAATATCCAATAAATACAGTGTTTCCTTTAGTTACTTGTTTATAGAATTGAACTAATTCCTTATTGTAGGGGAATATTTAACATTGTTGACGCCATGTGACCTGCAGTTGATCTATTTCTTCTACAGTTCTAATATTATGGGTAATTAGTGATTAAATATACACAATAACTTTCTTATATTTTCTGTTATTTATGAAATTGAGATTATTTCTTATTGTAGCTGCTTTCTCTACTATGACGCTTCAATGCAATCTCGTTGGTATGTGATTGTTATTCTATAGTCTAATAACAAGGACCAGAAGAAAATCGTTGAGTTTTTCATGTAAATATGTGTATTTATTGCGAGCTTCTCCCTTTTTATACCATGACTTTTAACAGTTCATTAATCTTTTTTTTGGCCCGGCATAGCCAGGTGATTAAGGCGCTTGACTCTTAATCTGCGGGTCGCGGGTTCTAATCCCCGTCACACCGAACATGCTCGCCTTTTCAGCCGTGAGGGCGTTATTATGTGACGGTCAATCCCACTATTCGTTGGTAAAAGAGTAGCCCAAGAGTTGGCGGTGGGTGGTGATGACTATCTGCCTTCCCTCTAGTTTTACACTGCTAAATTAGGGACGGCTAGCGCAGATAGTCCTTGTGTAGCTTTGCGCGAAACTCAAACCAAACTAATCATTTTAAAGGGAAGAAATTAAAAACATAAGGGATTCAAAAAAGGTGTTGTCTTTGTTTCTCTTAGATATGTCTAAACATTTTTATACACTCTGAAGTAACATTTATAAAAAGTACAATGTTATAGATTGACAGTAGTTGTAGTGAGCACTTTACAATTTTTATACTTCAATAAATATACAAGACGTTTACGCAGAAAAAAAAAATACAATTACCCTTCACGAAAAGAGAACAGCTTTACCTTAGTAAAGCTTAACTTGCAGTTGATTAAACTTACTTTTTTCACAATGACTCGGAAGGTCCAATTCTCGAGTCGCGATATTCCACTGGACACATTCCACGCTTTCAGCTGGAAAAGACGTTATTATTGTTACAATCAATGCGACTATTAACTTAAAAGTAGTCCCATAGGCAACAACTTCTGCTGACTGATTCCTCCTCCCTCTGGTGAGTAGTGGTTAGGAAGAGAGGTATGCTGGCATCTGTAGGGGTCTCTGTCCTAGTGTTTTAGTCTTGTGTCACATAAGGTGCCGTTTAGGTTAAAAATTATCTTTACGATATTGTTAGGTTTAGCTTCAAGCAAACATTATAACTGTCACATAAATATAGTATAATAACATAATTTATCATTTATAACTCGCACTAAGACTTAAAACACAACACTTTCATTTTTTTTTTCAAATCTAACATTAAGTTGGAGAAACTACAAAATGCCCATGAAATTTACATTTCACGCGTGTGTAAATTTAACTCAATAACAGCTGTGACATAAACTTTGGTTGCTTTGAAAGTGGGTCATACAAGCAAGTATACACTCTGCTTTAGCTTTAACAATTCTAAACAATTTTTACACTGGTTTTGTCTTTAATAATTCATTACTAATTTCAATGCAGACATCTGTTTGTTTGTTTGTTTTTAATTATGCACAAAGCTACACAAGGGCTATCTGTGCTCTGCCCACCACGGGTATCGAAACCCGGTTTCTATCGTTGTAAGTCCGCTATAAAGAGCAATGTGGGTCGCTGTTCTAAATTCAGCCTTCTCAGTAAACTTATGATACTTGTATTCTATTTTACTATTTCCAAGATACTCTAAAGAGTTAGCATTTATTTGTCACAGTTCATCGATTAAATTTTAATTTTGTGTTTTCAAGAGTATAAATGTTTTTTTTCTAATTCTCAGGGAGGTAAGAAATTTGAAATCAATTATTTCGCCCTCCTCATCTTAGCACATTTCATATTTTATGCCATTAGATCCTGTCGGATGTTCTTTGTCCCATGTTATGCGTAGCCTGACACAGCCTGATAGTTAAAACGCTCAACTCGCGATTTGAGGGTCGCGGGCTGGAATCTCTTCACTGAATATGCTCGCTTTTTTAGCCGTGGATATTTTATAATGTGAAGGTGGCAATGCCACTTTTTTGTTGGTAAAAAATAGCCCTAGAGTTGGCGGTGGTGTTGACTAGCTGCTTTCCCTCTAGTCTATCACTTCTAAATTAGGGATGGCTAATCCAGATAGCTCTGAAGTAGTTTGCGTAAAATTTAACAAACAAATAAACTTATCGTAAGGTTGTTGGTCTATGATGCTGGAATTAGTAACATTATGAATTAAGAGTTTGAATAACATGCCACTTTATATTCGTAATGGTGTTTTGTGTTTATCATGCATTCTACCCATTCAAGTTAATATATAATTATCTGTCTTTAGTGTATTGAGGCGTTCATCTGCTTATGAGAATATTCGCAGCCTGAACTCTCATAAAATACCTTCAACTATTTTGCTGTACCAAGGAAGTTTAATAACTTTCCATTCCTCCTTCTGACGTTCTCTTTGAAACCTTCAGTGAAGGTTAAGTTGCTATTTTATATTTTCTAACGAATATACTTTTTAATGAATCTGAAAAGGATCTAGGAAGTTTCAAAATCTCTAAGTCTTAGGAATTTGTGTTGGCTTAGCATAGTTTTATGCGTTTTGGAGAGATTTATCACAGCACTTGAAATACAGTGTCACTTGCATGTGTTCTGAAATTCCCTAAAATACTCCTTTCCATTCCTTCAATGTAAAAATATCTACTTTAAAATTACATTATTTTGTACTATACTTTTCTTGTGACACTAAACCGCTTATTTCCAGGCTGATCTGACCAAACGATTTGTCTTGACAGTCAAATATCTTCTTTGTGACAAGAGTGGCCATTTTTTATCAATTTCCTTGAGTTACTTAGTTACGTTATTTCTCATAAAAGATATCGCCCATGTATTGGACTTGTTTTGTGTCTGATGTTGTCAATATTAGTTTTGATGTGGGTTTTGTATCTTCGCAGTTCCTGTGTTAGTCTAGTTTCAAATGTTATATTTCTCTTATATATTAGTCATGTTATATTTGTAAAATACATTTGTTAGTTGTTAAAACTAATAAAAGAATTGGCGATAACTCATTTAATTTTGTTGTTGCTGAGTAGTGGTCTATGCATATATGTTTGAGACATGCGGTATAGTTCAGTGGCATAGTATTCATATTCATTGAATGATTTAGTGAATATTTAATATTTTAAGAGTAAATGTCAATTTTTTTAATCATCAAATTTCTAGACTGTCATTATTACATTCGCAACACGTTAATTTATTTTTCAGTACAGAAAACAGCGTAATATAATACGTCATTGGATGGATGAAAACCTTGGCTTTCTATTGATTATAAATAATATAGTATTGAATGTAAGAGCAAACTATTGACAAATCCTAAGAAAAGAGGATATGACAGATGGGTGTGGAAAAAGGGGGTCTGAATTTCTATTTCATGGCATTGTAACCAAACAAAATTGAAGGTTATGAGCAATTACAACATTATAATAAGTAACTTACGTTAAATTTCGTACTTCTTGGAGGGATAGTGAATAAAATATAGAAAAGTGGATACCACTTTTTTATTGCTTTACAAAATTAAGCACTTAAAACTTATATACTATTAACCTATGGATTATTAGCTACGATGTTATGCTATAATAATTGGTATAACATTAACAAAAAGCAGTTTAATTAAATTTTAAATGTAACTTACTAAAACATTG